GGGAAATTAGCATGCGCCGGAAGTAGGAAGAGCCTATATAAAGGGACAGAGGAGCGGTTTTTCACTTTTTCTTGCTAGAATTCAGGAAGAAACATGCAAATTAAATAAAAACTTTCACCGGTCCTCAATGGGGCCAGGGTTGAAAAGCCGCGAAGCGGTTTTTCAACCCTGAGTAAAATTAATTTTAATGAAAATTTCTGGACAGGGGGCTGCGACCCAGGGATCAGCTCCGGGACATACAGCCTACTGAAAGAACCAGCATCCGTGGCATGAGATCGTGGGCCTAGTGGATAGTGTCGCGCGCATCAAACTTTTGCAAAATTGTTTCCTGTGCCCGAAAGGGGCGCAGATTTATCTTCCGCTTTTTGGTCTTTCATGCCATTGAAATCAAATTCGCCTGGCATTATCGAGCGGAAAGCAAAAGAGTTTTATTTTCTATTGAGGAGTCGAACCCGGCTGGAAGGCAAAAAAAAAAAAGCAAAACTTTAGAAGCAAGCGCGCGCATCACCAGTAGAATAAATACAAATGGCTGGCCTGAGACCAAAAAAGTGTGGCTATGTTGATGCGCACTCAGATTTTCGAATCCCTGTAGAAAGTGTAAAATGATGGTTGTGACAATGATGATTTTCTCGAAACAATTTTTTGATGAATACGGACACGTGGGGCAGATTTGGAAAACGACATCTTGTTCTGAATTTTTCTCTCTATCGAACTAGATAGGTCTCGTTCATATAACCCCAATATCACCTGAAAACGACTTTTTGTTAGGACTTAGGCGGTAAAACGCGGTCATACGGAGCCATCTTTACCTTGGGGTAGAAAAGGCTTCGTAAGGATTTCCACAAGCCTAATAACTTGCAGCTTAAACTCATAATATGCAGCAGCAAGATTAACGCCTCACATCGTTCCAATTTTGAGATAATTTGAAAATAAAATCTTCAAACTTCTATAACCTAAAGATTTGATTTTTACGCTGCTGTGGAATTTCAAACCCTGTATACATAAATTGGAATAATTGGGTCCAACGATGAAACCCCTCCTCCTCCAAATTCTTAGCTCCTCACATCCCTCCTCTCGTTCGGGCGCCAGTGCAAAAATATTTGCCGCCAGAGGGCGAACGGCTTTCATCGGGAGCTCGAACTTTTTTTGTACTGAATCGTACCTCACATTGCGGACCGAAAATGCGATTTTTAGCAAAAAATACATTTATATTCAGGAGCTGTATCTGGAAAATAGATACCTGATACGTAAATAGGAGGCGCCTACTTGAAGCTTGATCCAAGAAATAGGGGGTATCAATTAGCGAGAGAAGCACCCACATTTTCTGGTTTCCCTTCCGACGCGGTAGATGCTGTGTTCGGGACTATTTAACCCCTCCGACTTTCTACACCCGGAGCGTAATTAGGTCGGAACGGAAAAGAGTTTCTTTAGCGGTGAGCACTTCATGCGCCATGGGTTCCCTCGTATTTTCTTGTGTGTTTTCTCTTTGCGAGTCGTCACCCAATCCTTTCACCGATTTTCGGAATGTCATCCATCTCCGCCTGGCACTCTGACGGACGCGACCCATTTTTACAAGAATTCCCGCGCCCCGTGTAATTTAACTGGGATCAGACGTGAGGGCGATTTTGGCTGTCCGACCTTTGTTGCTGTAAGAACCCTTCGCTTCCTTCCAAGCGGATTTTGGGTGAAACCAATTTGGTTTTAGGTTTTTGGGTTTTAAATTTAGGGTGTGGTGGTTGCTCGTAATTTTTAACGGAAAATTCTAAAATCTAAAATGGAAAAACCATAGGTCCATCAAAAATCACAGCGTGGTGTTGGGTCCCAAAATTAGAAATGAAATTTAAAAGCAAATTTGGTTTTTTTATTGGATTTTGTGAAGTGGTCTTAGGTAAGATCCTAACAATAATTTAAGCGCCAAATAAAAGCAACATTTGCCTCAGAACTTAAAATATTATTTAATTAGCTTTGATTAATACGAGTTTTTTAGAAATCGGAGGAGACTATCGACTACACTGGTTGCTCCTCATCGATGAGCAGCGTTTCGGTGTTGCTCGGATTCGTGCATTCTGACGGTTCGGTGTTTGCGCTCCATCCTGCTCCGGCTTCAAGTTTGTTTTTCAACTTCTTTGGCCCTTGGAAAATTTTATAAAATCAGTTTCCATTTTACTGCCTATTTTCCCTAATACCAAAGACTAAATCAGGAAATTCTCTTTATTTTTGTTCCATCCCTTCCCAGACGCGCCGATTACCTTCAAGCCTGAACTCTCTTTTTGCTTGTTTTCCCCGGGGATAACAAGCTCCGAGAATCCACGCGCTTATTTCGAGGGACTCCTGTGACCTGTTGGAGCATAACCTGTATACGAAGAATCCACAAATCAACCACTTCACCCGGGGGGACACTTCAATTTGTGGATGCTGTTGGGGGGAGTGAGTAGGTTGAGGCTGGGTGGCTGAGTTCGTAGCCCATGGGAAATCCCTGGGTGCCGACCAAAAATGGAACGAAAGCTGTTCTTTGGGCCTGGGCCCGATTTGGGGTAGGGCAGGGTAAAAATAGCATCTGGAGGGGCTATGTTTGGGGTGGGGGAAAGACTTATGGGTGGTTGGGTGGTAGGGGGAGCGAAAAGTCAGGAGAAGCCACGTGTGTGGGTATTTGGGAAACATGAAATCAGGTGTAGGTCTTATGCGTCAACTAAAAACCAGGTTTTACTTTTGAAATTATGAAATACCTTTTGAAACCTTTACAAATGCGATAAGCAAGTTTTGATTTTCTTAGGCACAAGGCACATCAAAGATGTAATAAGGGACTGTATGTATGGATCGTCAGCTTCTATTCAAGCTCAAAATAGTGTTAGCTAAAATTACTGTATTTAAAACGTAGAAAACTCTTCGACTGTGTGTGGTGGGTTAGTTTCCGGCATTTTTGTTATTTTTTGAGATACTGTCACGGCCATTCGATAGAGAGTAAAAAAACCCCTCCACTTATCACTTTAAAGATTTTGAAAAGACCATAAAAAGTTAAAATAAAATAGTTATGGCTAAAAAATCCAGGAAACCTGTTAGACAATAGCTTAGTGTTATAATATTGTCTATTTATTCAATGGTTTACTTTTGGATTTTCACCATGTCTACGCCATCGTCGAACTTTAAAACGTAAACGTTAATAAGTCTGTTTCAATCTCTAGCTGTACAACCCCTAAAAGCTTTAGTCTAAAACCACAAAATGGCACTTCTCCAACCCGGAGATGACCCTTGTCAATCGTGAAAAACACTTCCTCCCTCATCCCTTCGTCGTCTCCATTGGAATGGGGGCTGTTGTTTGAAGTGTCGCGGAGGTCCCGGTGGGATCCGAAGCTGTTCCTCCCGGTGCTCCCTTTCCTTTCCTTACATCTGAGCCGCAGAAGCCGAAGAAGGGCCCGCCCTTTCGTATTCTATGGAGACGTTACCCCCGCTTGCTCAGTCGAGAAGAGTGAAACGCTTCCCACTTGCTGTAATTCGCTATGAATCCACCACAAGAGATGCGTCGATTTTCGCTAGAATTTCAGCACAGTCTTGATCCAATATTGCGTTATTTACGGTGGGTAAGGGGTTACTGTAGAGCATCAGGATTTTTGGAAGACTACTTTATTACTATTGGACGGCTGAAATTGGTAGAGTTGTAGGGTTGCTGATTCTATTAGGTTGGTCGGAAAGTAACTAGAACTTTTCGAGGCAGAAAATTTTAAGGAAAGAAGCATTGTTTCGCCTCGATATTTTGCTGAGTGGGAGGTCACATGTTCTAGTATTTTCGGCTAAAATATGAGCATCGTACTCCTTAAACGTGCTGAGCTAGAGATCAAAGAACGCGCATCACGTGAATTCTGGTTTTTTGGTTTTCGAGAGTACTGCGCCCACCGATCTGACTAACCATTTTTTCCAATGCGTCAGTTTTGTAGAGAAAAGGTTGCACTACAGACTGGTCAGCACTAGAAATCTGGCTTCAGCCTCTTTAAGTTTTCCTAGGTCGATCTAAAAAGATGTCGATATGGGTTTAGAGGCGCCAAAATCCGTATTCCCTTCTTCGACCGTTTTATTCAAATCGCATGGGTAATTTTTTAAGCCGTTGCGACCGAGTAAGGCCTAGATGCCCCCGCATAGAACATACAACTGGTCTCCGAGGAAACAGTTTACATCTCGGAAAACCGAGGAAGATATCACGATTTTAGGCCCAGTTCGCTGTTATGATTTTTCGACCAGTCACTTAAGATTTTGAGTTATAATATTTTGCCGGCAGTACCCACTGGCACGAGTCTATCATACCATAATACAAAAGAATTCTAGGCTTGTGCCGAAAAAAGAAAGAATGGAAGTTCAAGGATACCTTCGGGTCTCAAGTTCGGTCATTAAGTCCTATAATAATTTTCAAATTTTTGAAAAACCCTCAGTCAATGCGGGTTTTAGACAATTGCATGATGTTGCCAATACTGTGCTTCTTCAAATCCATGGCCCACATCGGCAGATTATTTAGGCATCTAATTTATGCGAGGCTTCGAGTCCGAAACACTCAGTCACCAGTTTTTGTTTCAAAGAAACTAGAAAATTCGCTGAAATTAAACTACGATGCGGAATCCAGCACGGTGGTTCGAAAGAGCTTCCCTTGGCACTGCTTCATGTTTAACATTTCTTGCGCAGTGGCGTTTTTTGAATATTTCTGCGGCCAAAAGGTTTGGGGCTCGCGAATGTCCGCGCGTCGGGTTCTTGGGCGCCCCAAGGAAAATCGTTAGAAATGCAAGTACAGAGGTGGGATCCTCCAGATTTTTTTAGCGTTAATAGCAGACACATAGGTCTTTCTGGTGTAGGTTACAGCTAGTCTCTCGACGCTCTAGATAATTAAAGAAAAATTTCCGAAAAATTCTAGTTACTTTCCGACCAACCTAATATATAACATTGTGTTACGGTATTCCTCAAAAAGGCAGGTAACCGACTGTATTATACTAACTATCTAAATATTACCTTAATTTCAGCTCTCATCTGAAGATTCGACGTATGAGAAGGCTGTCTCCGAATGTCATGTGATCAAGGAAAGTCCGCTGTTCACTGAAGGACTATTGCTGAAATGTATCGACCTAAAACGTATGTTTTTTGTCAAAACCCCAACGGAAGTAAGACTTTGGTGTAGCTTAACCTACACTCAATCCCTTCCACCCTGTTGCCTTTCTGGCTTCCGGAATCCGGGGTCTAAACTTTGCACGGTCGACCTTTCCCTGCTCAGACTTCCTCCAGACTCCGTTTCCCAATGTTTTTCTGGGAGCCTGAAATGGGGCGGAAAGTGTAGGAGGAGGTGTTGGGCTCTTTTACCTACACTCCTCGCACCAATGCATTCTGAAGCAATACACCCAGGAGGGCTGTATGTCTGTTTGTTTGTGTGTGCCTATAGCTGTTTATGTCTCCCACTAGGGGGAAATATAGCCCTCCGTCCAGGTTATAGCGGGTAGTTGGCCAGTGCAGCAACAGAAGCCCGCCTACTCTATTTGGGGCCGGGCCTCAGCAAAAGTGGACGCCATCAAAAAAAGATCAGCGCCTAGCCCTGGAATATAAGTAGAGCCGGGTGGGAACAACGAGACAATACACCTGAACGTGCTTATTCTAGGGGAGCGGATCAAGCGGAAAGAATTGCCTGTTCTTCTAGTTCGGCTAGGAGGAGGGCAACAATTTGGTTGCGCATCGGTGCATTGATTAGTGTTTCGTTGGCTAATTTTTGGGAGGTTGAGGCTTGCTATTTTGGGGTGTATTGTTTTTGGTCTTTGGTAGGGTGCAGGACCACCGACCTGATCTGAAGAAGCGGAAATTTCACGAACTGCTGTTACCTTCCCTTTAAAGCTCTGGAAAGCATATTGCTAATGGTACTGGATTGTTAGCAGGGGGAAACTAATTTTCCCAGTAGACCTTTACGGACCTATCACAGAATATAAAACAGTTTTAAAGCATTTTACACATTTTTAGATATAAAAATTCATAAAAACTTGCAAAAATTTCAAAAATTGCTAACTTTTGGTAGCAAATGAAAGAAAATTGCGAAAAAGAAAACTTTTGAATTTTCAAGCTTTTTTCAAACAACTTTTAGCTTGTTTAGCATTTTAATTTTCAAAACAACTGTAAAAATATAAAATGAACTACTCATTATTAGCAGCCAGTTATCGACCTAAAAATAAAAATTGACTTCCCGTTGACGTTGATATCTCTCCCTGCTAATAGCTTAGTACCTTGCAAACCAGATATTTTTTTAGAATCACTGAGCAATACGATAATTTGCATAAAACCGTTTGCGCCGATTCCACTTTTTGGATTTCCCTGGATTTTCAGAGCAATTCCATCCAGAACCTGAATCTCTTTCTTTACAAAACTCAACCCCCATTTATCACCAACCAAACCCCGGTAATCCTCCAAATTCACCTCAAAATTCGATCCGCTTGACAAATGATCGTGTGCCTTTGCCCCCCCGCAATTTCAGCCTCACCGGCCGGGCCCTGCGTCAACAAGTCAATTTACATAAAAAGCAGGCCACCATAGGGCCCGTAGCCGTGGTTTTTAGAAAACACCAAGTTATGGCGAAACAAAAAGATTCAACGCTCCCTAGACTAAAAGTTAGTTTCCTCGAAACTCTCTATTTCGTAAGCCACACTTTGCAGGCTAAGCTTTCCGAGCTCTTTCAAAATTTCTCATTTTTGAGGATAGCACCAAAGTCCCAAGGAGATTTGTGACGAAAAGTTGCCGAATAGGGGGCCGCATGATGAGGGATCGGGTTTCACGCTGACGGATATTCAGCGGGTGGATTGCATTTAATTGAAAGAGGATAAAAAGTGTGGGGGGAGGGGGTAAAAATAGAATGGTTTCGATAATACTTTAAAAATTTCAGCCCTGTTCCCGTATCTACACTTTGCGCATTTCTCATCGGCCGACTACAGTAATCGCACCGGAGAAGTGACGCAAGTGATTCGCGACTTTGGAGCTTCACCAAACAGTCAATACGGTAATAAATATGTTGCAGTAATGTATGACTTTATAGGATGTTACGATGAGGTATACACCATCCAGAAAGCAGCCACCTCGGCAGAAAATCGACTTCCGGCTCATCGCCATGCCGGGATACATCGTCATCGGATTTAAACTGCTGGATGACGCCTCAAAGGCTGGTTTTTAGATATTCAAGATTTTTCCAAAATAAACGTTATGCCGTAATTTATTTTGGTATATCTAATTTTAAATATATTTTTAGCCAACCGCCCTCGAAAAGACTTGGCTGCAATGGTCGGGTGCCCGCGAAATCTACAAATATTCCCCGCGGAACTGGAATCTCCGCAGAATATCCCTACTTCGCCACCCGAATGTGTAAGTTTAGATCCAACGTTCTATTTTTGCTATTCCGTTTCTGCGTCTTCCCCAAATTTTGGAGACCACCAGGAACCTCGAAAAATATTCAAGACACATCATCTCGCCTTCGGGGAGTCACAATTAGCTCGACTTGTTCCCCGAAAAGGGTTGGTGTTGGTTCCAGAATCTTCCCCTGACCCTCGAATAACGAAGAATCACGAGTTGGGGTGGAGTCTATTTTGGAACTGCTGTTCCCTGATCCAGTAAAATAAAAAGAGACGGAAATGATGAGCAAATTCGGGTGATATCTAGATTTGTTGTGAACCCAAGCTATTTCGCTCTAGACTTCAGGTACACTGTGAGCAGAGATACCATTGTTCTTGCCACTTACACGGGTAATAGCTTTTCCTGGGTCCCAGTGGGTCAGACAGCGAACCCGGAACGAAAACATCGTCACGCGACCCCCGATGGTGAATCTCAGTGGTCCCGGGGAGGTAATTGAGGAGAGCAGACGTCTTGATACTTGGCAAATCACAAGAGAAGGAAGCGATGAATATTTTAAAGGAGCGCGTAAGGATAGTCAGTCGCAATGAAAAAGTAGAGGGTCGTGACGTAAATGGGAAATGACTCCCCAGAAGCTTCCCAAATTTCACATTCTCGCCTTCACGGAAGTTGCATGCAAATGAACCCTGATATACATACACTATCATACTATCATAAATCTTTCAGTTATCGCAACGGTCTTCCGCGCCCATTTGCCTACGTCCTTCTGTGTGAGTACGGCTCGATCCTGCACCCAGCCAACACAGTACAAGCCCTGGATATGTGTGAGAGGATGAGGGTTCGAAATTGTGGGCACGTCGCGTTGTATCAAGTAAGGCGATTGCAGATTTCAAAAATTATTCCCACGTTTAGGTACACACCGCCTACAACTCTAGTCCGCAAACTGTTGTCAGCCAGTCGTCCCCGCAACGTGTTGTTAAGCGGAACCCAATGTTGCGCGGCTTCAGCCAGGACGTTGAATCAACGGAGGCCCGGAGGTAAGGCTGGTTTACAGTAATGCTGAGAAATTCCTCTTGTTTAGACAGAAACTGCGCCCGATGCGCGATCGAAGTTTCGGTGGGTACATGGAAGAAGAGCCATTCGATTCATTTCCCCTTCACAAATATGGTTCTTATGGATCGTCATCATTGTCAACAAGCCCTCATCGTAGATCCCCAAATACCTACATTGATTAAATATTTTTGAAGGGTCATTATGGCCAGTCATCGCTTATTTTACCGTGCAATTTATTTCTTTTATAATGTAAAACACATTTGATGTCATGGTCGTGTACAGAATTTATTGACTGTATCCTGTGATTTAACTTCCAATGTATCCACCGAAATCTTCGTCTAGTCTCTGAAAAACTCTTTTGTACTGAGATAAGCAATGCCCCTATGGAATGAAATTAATAAAGGTTTTTAAAACTCACAAAAATAATGCAAACGGGGAAAACCGTTGTTTTCAGCTAGACATGGGTTGGAAATTAGTTCATTTTGTAGTGCACGACGAGGCAAAAGTACTGTAATTTCTAGCTACGGATACTGTAATACAGCAAGCTAATCCGCTCAGATTTTGGGTCTTTAAGAGCTTATAGTTCCCTCCTTCCACCCAGACCTTTTTAAGACCCAATTTTCGAACGGTGTTTGAAGACTTAGGAATCGCTCAGGACAATGCCCCCATCTAGATATTCCCATGATGGCTCATCGTCCGCAAAAGGGCGCCCCCTGATGGGGCTACGGGAAGCGCCCCCTTCCACCCTACCCAACCAGGAGTACGCGCGGCTCCTTTGTCCAAGACGATCCCTGTGCGCTATGGTCGGACCACGGGGGGAAGAAGGGGGCATTCGGCGGGAACGAGCTCGGCTGCCCACCTCTGGGTCGGATGGCCTTGAAAAAAAACGGCTGCCCCCTACCCCCAGCCCCCCTTGCCTACTCACACAAAAAGACCTATGAGCAGCAGCCAGCCGGAGCCACCGATGTGCCCTCGACGACGACCTCAATGGAATGACATTGATCGGGGTGGTGAAGTTGTGAAAACAGCGGGGTTTTTGGAGAAGGTTTAGGGAGTTAGATTGGTGGGGATGATAAATTTTAAAGGTGATTTAAAACCTTAATTTCTCATACCTCTCAATTTTTTTATTTCCATTTGCAAGCGAGTAAGACCTTCCGACCCTCTTAACAACACCGCCGCCCATTTTTGAACGCAAATTTCCGACCCCCAAAGAGCTTTCGAATGCCTGCACCCCCACCCCATTTCCCCAGGGGCCGACCGATGACGAACACGTCCCGTACAGTGCCCTTTCGCATGTACCCCGCAAAAAATGGTGCCAGCCCCCGCGAAGATACTGTAGCCGGTGGCACACGTTCAAATGGCCTGCGGGGTCATGCGATTGAATGTCTTTAGCGGGGTACCATTTCCCACGTTCCGACCCCGGTGCTCGTAAACAAATAACATGTTTTCTGGGTTTGGGAAGGGGGCGAGCGGAATTGTAAATTCAAATTCTTCTTTGTCCAGCAATAACGACTATAAGTTCGCAATGCGAAGACGCCCCGTGGCTGAGAATAAAACCTTCACCCTTTCCAGTTTGTGAGGCATGTTATAAATTTTGATGAGGGAACGGGTAGTGGGGGGTCTTGGTTGAGCAGACGTGTCCAGCTGCCACTCGACATCCTCTCCCTCTTCCCGCTAGGCCACAGCCACAGATGGCTTTTTCGGTGACACGATGCGCGGGGAACATCTGCACGGGGACACCCACCAAACCCCCCGCACATCGGCTACACTACACAACAAATTTTGGGTGTCGTTTTGAACGGGGATTAGGGAAATGATGTCGAATTTAGATTTAAAGCTTGTTTTGGTACCGTAAAATTTGCAATATATACGTCGTTCTCTTAAACCGGACGTTCCACTACCAAATATTAATTTAATTACGCAGAAGAAGACTCCTATATGTTTTAGTGAAAATAAAAGCAAACGTTGAGTTAGACGCTACAAAATATTACCGCCAAAACTGAGTTTTTATTTGCCGGTCTTAAAACAGTTTCTTAAAATTTTTGCAAAAAAGCTTAAAGAGATGAGGACGGCATCTGTTGAACCCCCCTTGGGGAGGGGGGGTTCAACAGGTCCCAGCGCGACCGGCGGCGAGAGAGGCGCCCAGGGAGAGGCGCAGAGACATTTTCTTTCCCTCGCGTAATCGATTGACTTATGCCGCCCCTATCTCTTTAACTAAGAAACACTAGTTCGCTAAAAACCCGCTAGGTAGATAGCCGGAAATTAGAGTGTGATAGGTATTTTAAAAAATTCACAAAACGGCTACCGTAATATTTCCTACCTACAAAATTCGTTGAATTTGACAAGCCACGAAAGAATTAAGTAAGTAAAATAAAAAAATAAAAATATTCCGGTAATTCGGCGGCCACCTGACCAACAGTTGGCTGTGATTCGATCTGTACCGAATTCACGGATCACGAGGCAACTGACGGACATGAGGCGCCGATACAAAACAGGGGGAAGGTATTCAAAACAATGAATAAATATGTATTACCATATAGAAATCCGAATAGAATAGATAGACATTGGGTAGCGAATAAAATAGCTCGACGCCGAGCTGAGTATGGATCTAGTCATGTGCATCAATAGGGGCCATGACCAAGATGCCAGACCCAGGACGGCATCGCGCTGCTGGGGAGGCTGGGTTTTAGAATTGGGTAGGAGGAGGAGGATGTGATGGACCAAAGGATGATCGGATGGGTAGAGCGTCGATGGGATGGGGGCGGAGCTGTATTTGGGGCTGGAGGCGGAGCCGAGGGCAGATGCCTGCCCCTCACCACCTGGCCCTCCCTCGACCAACCAGGTTTTTAGCCTCGAGCAATGAGTCAAAGAAGGTGGAAGGAGTGTTTGAAGGTATTGAGTGTTTGAAAGTAGGTGGGTCATGGGTTCGAAAAGTTGAGAGGGCATTAAAGGGATAAATAAGGCCATTTCTATCAATTTTTGCATCGCCGATGCTGATATTGAAGGAAGTAGTCAAAGAACACTTTATGGAGATTGAGAATGCATCGCTAAAGCCGGTAGAAACTTAATATCTTACAGAAAAATCACCTATATAGCTACAAAAAAAATAAAGGCAGATTATAATATCCATAATAATTTTAAAAAGAGATATTCAAACCTATTCACCTATGATCCCTCACAAGCCTTTAAAGCAACATTTACCTCCCAATTTTATAAAATCGGCCCAGGCTATAGCAGGCAGGGTTTCCTAATGCGTGGATAAGGCGCATGGGTGAATAGGTCCTGTCCCGATCTATCGGCCTGTTGGCACATTGGATTTGTGTTCGCTTTCCGCGCGCAGGGCCAGGGTTGGGCCCACGGCCGTGGCATCGGGTTTTTGCTGTTTCATTAAACGCTGGGAGTGAAATGTTCCTTTAAAAAACTTCTAAAACTCCGATAAAGCCGACCAAGAGGATGAAAGAAATTGACGCGCGGCAGCCTTCCTTTGTGACGCCATTCCGCCTCAAGCTGGTGCCGAGCTAAAATTATGCAAGGGTGCCAGGAGGGCTGGTGTTACAGTTGGGCGCCCGATATCGGGTTGTAGTAAGGGATTGTAAAGCATAGACATTAAGACATTAATTAAATTTAGAAGCAATATCTAACAAAAAAAATTTTATAAAGGGGGTAGGATCGATCAATCATGGACAATCTCTAGGGATTAACACCTAGAGCTAAAAGTATTCTTATTAGAATGATCCAGCCCCAAATTTACGATTTTCCAACCACTTTAAAACGAAATCGCAAAATCAATAGCCCTAGCCGGCCCTCCTGCCAGCCGACAATCAGATATCCATGTTTGGCGGGCCGCAACGCGACGGGGAATCTAGGAAAGTTTTGAGAGGACTGAGATACGGGTCGATCGAGTCTCCACCCAACTCCTTCTTTCAATACACTTCTAATTCTCGATTTCTCTCCGACTCCCTGCCTCTATTCTTTACCGGTCACCGGGACCAGCTCCATAAAGGGGCGCTGCCTATCCCTCTCCGCTGACCCCACCTGGAATTTGGGAAAAAGGAGTTCGCGCTGGGGTGAAGAACTAACGTAAAAATGGGAGGGTTCAGAAAAAGGGTTTTGGTTTGTGGGGCCAGCGCTTGCTATATAAAATTTTGTGTATCCTCCAATGGTTGTAAATGTAGATTTTTGAACGCGAGCGGCTACTATGTCAGTAGCGTCCCATTTTCCATGAAACGTCGAAAAATTTGCATGCGTCTCCGCTTATAGAGCGCGCACCCATGCCGAACCAGCGACCATAGATGTGAATTTTCCACATTTCGTTCAAAGAGGGCGTTGCTGACAGTGCCTCTTTAAAGTACATGTGCCCTCTCCAGATCCAGGTCGCCCTCCAGCTGGCACGCAGCCCATTTTTTTGCCTACCTCGAGCCCGGTGTCCCTCCCCGTAAAAAAAACCGTCGCCCTTTCTCAGCCCTTCAGGCCAGTGCTGGTTGCCCATTTATTGGATGGCTGGCTCGGTGTCGCAGACAAAGAACCCTTTCGAACCAACGGCCGCGCTGAGCACGACCACCCACGCCTACACCCGCTGAAAAACTTTGTTCGGGGCCTGGGAAAATGGGCAGGAATGGGGGGAAGGGCGAGTCGACCCTGGCGCGGAAACACAGGTTGCCGTTCAAATTTTTTTGATTCGCCCGGGGGGTGAAAGGGGAGGGAGCGTTTTTTGAGGGTCAGGTGTCTGGAGGACGAGTTGCGCTAGGGGAATTCGATGAAATGCTACGGATAACACAGCCAAAATGATTCCTGTTTTACTATGTAAATGTTTTTAATACCGTATTTCTTCTAAAATAAGCATCATTTAATAAAAATTCTCTTACGGGACAATCGAAAAATATATAAGCCTCCTTATTCCTGGCAAATGATATTTTTCCTAACAGAGAGACCAACCAGATTTTCACATCTTTATAGATATACATATATAGATTTTTATATACTTTTTATATGTAGGATACGGTATCTCCTAGCTACTTTTCCATATGCAAGGTCTATCCTATTCAAAAAAAAAAACGTGGGTAACGTGCACGAGTCGAGACAGGACCTCCCATGCCACCTGTGGCGCAAAGACGAGATGCGCAACGGCGATATCGTGGGCCATTTAGGGGGCATGGCAATGAGAGGGTAGACACCTGCCCGTGAATGGGTTTTACGTGAAGCGACGATCCCACAACGATCTACATCTACCAGCCGACGTCTGTGTCGGTACGAACACACACAGATGTCGGATTTCACTCCCCCACCCGCAGCTTCACACCGAAAGCGGCACAAGATTTGCAAAAAAAGAGAGGAGTTTCTAGAGAAGATCCTCGGTTGTTGAAGAGACAGTAGGGCTCATATAAATTAGCATAAAGCGTCGACTCGTCGAAAATCTGTCCTGCTCGAGTTTTTTTCTGTAGCAAACCGGAGGCATTTTGGCATTTACATATAGATGGTAAGTTTAGGTGCTCAACCTATGTTGCTTTTGGC